GGCTCGTTCTTCTTCGTTAGATATAACATAATGATTTTGTGTTGGTATCATTAGTTTTTTCTCACATTTTTGACAAACATTGCTTTGTTGTTTATAAGAATGTCCACCTGCTGTCACTTCTGGCGTACCCAGAGGGCAGGTGCAGTAGCGTAGCCGGAACGTTTTTTTCAAAGGGGGCTCAACCATACTTCATGCATATTCATGCGTGAGTTTGTATGAGTGTTTGCGTAATCTACACATGCAAACAGCAGGTAAGTAACAGCAGCTTTTGCTGCTGTTACTTACCTTTTATGTACCCCATTAACGATAGGAGGTCCCCCTGACAGTTTCTTACTTTGGGACCTCCTGACGCTGTATATATTATGTGAGCTCATTTTTTTTTGTACTCATGTACTCAGCAATGAATAAACTTGAACATAGATAAACTTGAAAAAAAAAAACCAAAAATTGGGGGGGGGGGGCTGGGGAGTTCGAAGCCTACAACCCCCCCTGGCGACGCCAGTGCAGCAGGGGGAAGTCAGTTGTAAAGGTCCAAGTACATTCCCCCTCCCCCCGCCGCCGACACGCTTTAATCTTACACGTGCGTATATGCTCACACACTCATACAAACACGCACACAAGTAAACATTAAGGTTGGTTTAACCAACCCCACCGTCCTCCTCGCCTCCCGTCCAACTGAATAAAATGTTCTGGCTAAATCGTTGTCTGACACGTCAAACCAAAGGGACCAATCTGATCTTAGACATTGACCAAGGGTGTGTAAGTACTTCTTTTTTGCTTTTGTCCGATAAGGTGGATGACTTATTAGACAGCGGATTCATAGTGCCACGCGATGTCATTCGCATGCATGCTTACACTCGTTGTTTTCTCAAATGAGGCTTGTTTTACCATAGCGCTTGCTTTCTTTACATGTTTTTTTCTTCTCTTTTTTATGGTCTCGCATTTTTGGATCATCCTTTACGATCTGCTTACATCACTCTGTAGCTAAGGACACTTGACATTTGTCGCATGCGAAAATCCCAGTCAGCCCGAATAAAAGAAAGAAGACACGCCTCAGAATTTTCCGACATTACTTGCATGCGTTATCAATCGCCCCCTTCAGTCGACTACGGCTTTAATGACCTCCTCTCAAATTGCTTTCTGGAGGTTCGAGCTCCAGCCACTCCACAAAACAGTGTATTACGTGTTTCCGCGCAACACATTGGACTTCTCTGTATCCCAGTTCCTTTTTTCGCTTTTTCTAATGTCCGCTACAGTTTTTTTTTTTTTGGTAACAAAGAAGATGCAGGCTGGAAAAAAAAAAAAAAACGTGGCCCGAGACTCTCGTTGCATTGCCCTGGCGCTGTAAGATTAACACGCGCGTTTTCGGACCAATTTGTTATCAGAGGCGGGGGAGTGGGGGGTGGCTATCTATATCTGCAGATGGCCAGTAACAGTAATGCAGGGCGTGAAACACTTCCACACGCGAAAAACAATTACTTTAGCAGGAGGTACTTCCCAGCTACGCTATACAGGTATACCGTGTACCATATACACTCGACTAAGGGCAGCGTTCGTGTAAAGGCCCTTAACTTGGCTTCCACATTTTAAAAAAAGAAAAAGAAATCTCGCCAGCAAACGGCAGTGTCGTCGCATCTCGCGTACGACGCATTTCAAGGAAGCCACATTGTGTCAATATATTTAAGGTCACCGAGATTTTCAATGCCATGTATGGCAGCACTGAGGGTGCTTGGATACATGAACACCAGTATCACCCGAGTAGCGGCGATAGGCCGAGCACGCCCAGTACGCTTTGATCCAGCGGCCGCGCGCCGAGTCTGAGCAGCGATAGCGATGAAGACATGTAGCCAGGACGTCCGCAACTATAGACGCCAGATATCGCAACTTCAGGTATATATGGCATGATTAAATGGGGTTTTTTCCCCACGCGAACCGTGAACCGTAAACTCAAGAAAAACTTCACACTTCCGTAGAAGGGCGAAATTTGGAAAGGCCACGTCCCGTGAGAATCGCGGGGGAAAAAAAAGTGCAGTCCTTACAAGAGTGTATAGATAGGAGTGTATAGACAGTGTAGACAGTGTGGAGTGTATAGATAGAGTGTATAGACAAGAGTGTATAGGTAGGAGTAGAGAGCATCCAACTTTTGTTATGGCACTTCTATGGGTTTCGGAAAATGAATTCTTAGAGGCCCTGATATTCGCGAGTGAAAAACCCAGCTGCCAAGCACGGAGCTCGTGTTGAGAACGCGGGCAAACGCGATAAACAAATGCCATGTAAAAACGGTACAGTAGGAAGCTCTTCGTAAACTATGGTATACGCGCAAATACGCGTACCACCAGAGCACCTCAAGGTGCGCTGGCTGTGCGCCTATTTGTGTCCGCCATTTTCCAATAAGCGGCGTTCCCTCGATCGTCGACTTTTCACCCGTCCATGGTTTCTGATATGGTACTGTGATCTTTTATCTGGGTATTTATAAATGCCATTTTGCGCTGCCATATTTTATTTCAGTCTGAATGTGAAGTGTCACCGACGCTGTTGCCCAAGCAAGTGAGTTAGGTGGGAGCTTCGCGCAATGCGAGAGGAAGAGAAGGAAGGAAGGAAGGAAAATAGAGGGAAAAGAAAGGCAAGGAGGTTAACCAGCCTATAGGCAGCCGGTTTGCTTCCCTGCGCATGGGAGAGGGATGGGGGAGATGAAAGAGAGCAGAGAGGGAAGAGAGCAGAGAGGAAGAGATGTATGCATTGAGTCAGATAGGCACACACCTGCCTTCGTTTGCTCCCATTTTCGCGTTTCGGGAAAAGTTCCTGAATTTTCCCCCCAATTCCCAGCACTATCAACATATACTGGTTTGTTGTTTGTCTTCTTCGACATTGCCTCGGGTACTTTTTCTCAGGCTATTGTGACAAATGACAAAAAGACTTGATTCCCTCCTTTTTCTGCGCCGCGGCTTGTCAGAAAAGGCTCCGAGTTGGTGCCGCAAAGCCACGTGGTACTTCTGGGTTCTCTATTCATAGGTTGTTTATAAATATGTATTTTCTTTGTAACTCCTGCTGTACCTTAATCTCGCCCAGCAAAAGTCACGGATAGAAGGAAGCCCACCATATTTAAAAAAAACAATAAATATTAACAAAAGAATTGTGTGGAGAGGACGGCTAGAAGAAAAAAAACTTCAGAAAGATGGTCTATCTTCATTTTCGCACATATATGCGTGAAATTTCGTGCAAGCTACCAGAGAATGAAGTGACGGCGCCTCAATCTGTGTATGGAAAGGACGTGAATAGTGTGAACAATGGGAAGGATTTTCTCCGGAACGCCTCAACAAAAGAAGCGCATCTACCTTTTCGTTTCTTTCATCCCGGATACATTTAGGATACTCAGTTCATTCTTTGGTCTATAGAGCAAGTTGTTAGAAGCACCTCTCTACACCCGAGACTTACTTAGTTGGGTGAACTAAAATAACAAATTGTGAGCATGTCTTTTTGAAGGAGTATTTCTCGAACAGAGAGGAATGCCATCGTACACAAATTCGGCAAGAGCATCGAGTGTATTCGCGAGATGCCTCGTCACTGTTCGCCCACGTGCGGAACAATGGGAAGATGCCGCCACAGGGCTCGAACGAAGATTATGTTGTGCCAGTTGAAGTCTTACAAAAGAGAGAGAGAGATAGAGAGAGAAGCAAGATGGACCGCAAATCCCTCGAGGCTGCGAAGTGAAATGCGAACTTTCATTTTTTTTTTTTGAAAGAGAGATTTAGACCCACAAAAGAGTTGGGACGTTGTTTAGAAAGCACAAGGCGATTCGAACTCATGCATACGAGTCCGTTCCAACGTGTTGCGCACTTTTCAATTACGTGTAACCAGAACTGAGGAGCTATCATCGTCGGAAAATGATCTCCAGCTGCGCCAAAACCAACTGGTTATGCGGATGCTCGGCCCATTCAGAAACACTGCGAGTGCCCTGAATGTCCAAACACAGCTGTACTGCCAACTATATGTATATGGAGAGAGAGACTCGGCTTGACTGAAATGAATAACGCACGTGGGTTAGGCTTAACTTTGATAGCTTTAGATACTCTAACGTAAGACGAGGCCGACAAATTCGTTCTCGTTGTCGAACGGTAAGAACAAAACGACAACGCAATAGGGCTCATGAAACACCGGTAAACGAAAGAAAAATGAATTACAGCGCATTGAGACAGTATTTTTCGAAGTATTGTTCGCGATTAAACTACAGCGATTAAAATATACAACTAAAAAAAGCAGCTGTCAAGCGCGGGCGTTTTTTTTTTTTTTTTACTTATCCATTCACCCCAGCAGACGCGGTTTCTTGCGCCTGCCCCAGCTGACGTGGTTCGGAGGACAGGCTCTGGCCAAATGACCGGAGATCTGCAGCTGATCACTTTCACGACTAGAAATTCACAGCATATCCACGGAGTGAATGATGATGAGTGGGATGAGTCCGTCCGTTCTTCCGTTCGTTCATTCGTCCGTCCATCTGTCCGTCCGTCCGTCCGTCCGTCCCTTCGTCCGTCCTTCCGTCCACCCTGTCAGACAGACAGACAGACAGACAGACAGACAGACAGACAGACAGACAGACAGACAGACAGACAGACAGACAGACAGAGAGATAGATAGATAGATAGATAGATAGATAGATAGATAGATAGATAGATAGATAGATAGATAGATAGATAGATAGATAGATAGATAGATAGACAGACAGACAGACAGACAGACAGACAGACAGACAGACAGACAGACAGACAGATAGATAGATAGATAGATAGATAGATAGATAGATAGATAGATAGATAGATAGATAGATAGATAGATAGATAGATAGATAGATAGATAGATAATGGAGGTTTGAAAGATGGTAAGAGGATACTGAGAGTCAATGAGAACAGTGCAAAGTCCTTACTAAAGCTTTGGCAGCGTCCTGGTACAATACGCATCGACTTCGTGGTTGCACACATCACTATTCGACCGGCGCACGCCGGTACTCACACCATAGCCATCCCTAGCAAGGGGAACAGAAATTGTCCCATTGTTCATTTTCATAACGGGTCCGGGACAACATCATTATATTTCCTTCAGATTACCCTTTTGCGTAGCGTGTTCATGATTATGAAGTCAGTGCTTCTTCTATAGTTCTCTTTTTAAAGCATATGAAATTGAAGGCATTGAATGGTTATACACTGGAGCCGACTGCGAAAACCCTGCCCGTCGTCAAGAATGAATACGGCCATGTTTTGAACTAACAGCAAAATATGAAGGCGCGAAGTTGTGAGGCATTAAAATTGATCGAATTTTACATCATATTGTCGCTGTAACGTGGTACTTGTTTGTACGACGCGACAAAAGTGCCCGCTTCGAATTTCCCTTTTCGGAGTTCGACAATGTGATGCGTTGCAATAATAATTGCTCCGAGAGACATTGCTCGAGCGAACAGGGGAAGACAAAGAGCTTATGCCACTGATTTCTTTCTTGGGCTGTTATATAACCGCTTATTTTATTTTCTGGAAATGCGAGTGCCTCTCGGGCAATTATTGCGTTTGACAGATCATACGTAACGTCGTGGTGACTTTCAGGGATGTAATTATAGCATCGCGCGTCAGATGGCTAATTATTCTATTGACTCTTCAATCGAATAATCGATTCCCCGTGACGTTTAATTCTGCAGCGCAGATGTCACTCGGTCCCTTTCGAACGCCATCGGGCACAATCCGAATCGAATTATTTACCAGGTGCTAGAATGACTCAAGCTTTCTTCATTATTTTGCGTGAAGAAGTTTAACCAAGGGAAACATATAGTCGTCCTCTTATAATGGGGACAAGTCCTTCGCTTATCTCCATATAAAACGAGACTACCTTGCACAGAAATACAAACAAAAAATGGAGATGCACCACTGCTACAACCAAGCATCATTATCAGGGCTCTCATTCTGTACTGATTCATGTTTCAACGATGATTTTATCGGTCTATTCCTTAGGAGCAACGAGAGAGTGATTGTTGATGGGATACCTCCTGGAACCATTTTATGTATTACGTCGTCGTGCCCGTGTATAGAGCAAATCTGCAAGTTTGCAGCTGCTGGAACCTTCACTTCCCCACTCACCTTCTTGATAAGCTGTATGGGGAAGCAGACCTCTCCGGGAGCCGAACCGGTGACCTTGTCCGGCGTGACCACTTCGCAGCCGGCCAGACTGACCGATATTACGGGTACCTTGTCCGACAGCTCGTAGTAAGCGTCCAGCTTCTCAGCGTGAAGTGCCACATACAGCCTGTGAAGAATGCAAGGCCCCGTATCTAACGTTAAATTCTCCATCTATAATTGTACACCGATCACTGGGCTATCACGTTCTTCTGGACCAGCAGTTTCATCACACTTCCTTCGGAACACGCCTTGTATGAGTTATGCATATAGCTCGCCGAATGACCGTACTGGAGGAGATGTACCGTTGACAAGCAGCGAAGTTCCCTGGTAGACTAAACTTTTGCCTGAACATTGCGCGTATGAGTTCCTTGTTCATTCAGTTTTAGCTGTATTTCTCGGGCAAGTTTCAATGACATATAACTTAGTTGTCCTTATCGAAGTGAAACGAAGCAGCATGAATAACATGGTTCAAACTCCTTTAGTTTACCTCCCAGCTAACGTGAACCTTACGGGACATAGCTGGTATGTCCCACATACTGCAACGCCATGGTCTGAACATCCCATTTCGGTAACCAAATCGCACGCAGTTTTCGCGAAGGATGCTGGTGATGGCACCACTACACGCATCAGAGGGGAACAGGCACGAGCTGAATCAGCATGCATGCTGTCTTCTTCTTATTGTACTAATGTTCCGTCCTCCACACTGTTTTTGCTCCCTTTAAAAAATGAACAAGTTAGCCCCTGAACGCACTTAACTTGATTCAGCTGAAGCTCTGTTTTACTCTGTTTCAATCGCCATCTCATTTTATCCCAGCGCAGAGTAGCCGGCAAAAAGCAACACGCTTATACCAGTGTCCTTCGTCAAACAAGCCAGTATAGATCATATAAAACGCCAGATGCAGTATAAATGCGTACATCGGTATTGTGTGTGTGGGCGCGCTGGCGTTTCGACAAATGGACTTGTCTTCCCCAAGGCTAGGACTGTTCTAGCATTCCGACATTCTAGCATTCTGATGTTCTAGCTAGGACGTTCCGACAAGCGCACTTCTCGGAACGTCAGCTCGAGCACACAGGTCTTGTTTACGGTTTTTTTTTCATCGCAAGCTTCTTCATATTTTTCCTTCCTGCCACTTTTCGCGTGCAGAATAGCACTTCGGTGTGCGACTCGCAGTCTCACCTGAACCATACGCGGTCTCCGGACAGAACGTGCAGATATCCATCCTTGATCGGCAGTGGCCTCACGGGCCGCGACAGTTCGGCCAGGCCATCACAGGCCTCTTCCTCTTCCGAGCTGCCATTGTTGGGTAGCTGCGTCGAGCCACCCGGCTGCTGGAGATGCTGGGCGCCCGAAGACGGCGAGGAGGCAGTGACCACGTCTTCTCCGCTGGACATTCTGCGCAGGCGCCGGAACCTCAGGCCCATGACGGCGGGTGGCCGGCTCCCGCTGACGCCGCCATGCCTCTGGCCACCCTCGCTGGTCCCTTCGCCGGACACCGGTGTTAGCGAGCCTCCAAACAAGGGCGGGCACCAACCCTGGTGGGTCTGCAGCACCGAGACAGTTGATGTAGTGCTTCGCTGATAGATGTGTACTCAGAAGAACTTATATGTTCCCCTCATACTGGATGACCAACTCGGTTAACAGACTGTTGTTCTAAGTTTACTAGTTCACTGGGCTCTTTTAAGTGTTCTACTCCGTCACGCACGTACTTGTGTTGTTCGTTTCTCCCTCTGTCTGCGTTTGTTTAAGCACTTTCCCTCATAATGGATGTGAACTAACGGCAAACTACGGCTCGTTATGTTTTGCGGGAGTCTGGTGGCCGACTGTAGAGCTTAATGCAAATTACCAAGCTTGTAGCAAGCTTTCGTTTGCATGTGTTACCGAGAGTGTAGCTAATTTAGTAGAGCATCGCACGTGTTATTCGAAGGTCATGGGTTCGATCCCTGCCGGCATCAAATTGCCTTCTCGTTCAATTTTATTTCTTCATATTTGTGTCATAGTTACTACAAGTAACATCCCCTATACTTCCCTTGGCTCAACTGTCTGTTAGTTTTTATTAGAATTGTGCCCAACAACAACAACAACAACAACAACAACAACAACAACAACAACAACAACAACAACAACAACAACAACAACAACAACAACAACAGCAACAAAAAAGAGCCCTGAAGTTCTCCTTCTGTCGCTCATTATTAGAAATCTGCAGTAACTCTTCCAGCACCTTTACCTTTGTGTAAACAATTCTAGTACTTTGATAAGGCACGTTGCCGGGCTAGTTGGTTGAGATTCATCATTTTCACTGGTATAACGCACCACGACAAGGACACACACAAAGGAGAGATGCACACACACACTGCGCTCCTTTGTGTGTGTCCTTGTCGTGGTGCGCTATACCAGTGAAAATGATGAATTCTAGTAGCCTAATCTATGATTCCCAATGGGCTATGAACTTTGATCTGTTCCATATAACTGTTCCCGCATGACTTGATTATCATTGACAAGCGCCTTTTAAGTGTGAATAGTTGAACTGCTGTTAACTGCTCATAAATCATATATAAACCACATGACATATAAACCGACACAATATACTTTTAGACATCTAGAACTATTATCAACTGCTGCCTTGAAAGCACCTGTAAATGAATTATACAACGCCTTTAAGCTCTTCCTTGCTCGAGCACGAAGAAGATCTTCCCTGACTCCCGGGATCAGCTTTACGAAGAAGATGACGACGGGTCGACAGCGTCGCAGTGGGTGACTTGTCCACAATTTAATAGCAACATAGCGGCAACTTTTCGCGAAATCCCTCGGCTTAAAAGTTCGCGAACCTTCGCTTCGCATTCTTATAGCGTCTTTCAACGCTCGTCGACTCTACTAGACACATTGTGTACGTCTCTGCAGCCATCCGCTCACTTACCGCTCTCGTAGCTGACTGCGCGATTCCCTGCCCGGGTAGTGTGATCTCGCAATGTACTTGCTGCACCTTTTTGTGCCCACGTCCACACGAAGCGGACATTATCTTTTCATTTCCTAATCCCCTTTCACCGGCGGATAAAGAACTCCCGTGATTGTATTACGGTTAATCTCACGGCATTGTGCTGCCCTTTTATGCTGTCTTTGTGCACTGCTGGACAATGGCGCCCACGTCAACTGGGTGCCGGCGCATTAGCGTCTCTCGCGTCAGCAACGCTGAATGGCAGTAAAACACGGAGCACAGGAATCGATAATAACTTGACAGAGAGCAAAAAACAGAGGGGAATGAGTGTATTGGGCCAACGGATGGGCCATGATTACCCCTCGTCAGGCGCCTAATGCGAGCGACCGGTAGGACATAGGCAAAGTAGGCGGTATATCACCTTGCCTGAGGGGCATGGGAGGTATCAAATGGACAAATGGACAGATTGTGCGCGTTTTGTGGGTTAGGCTAGCTGTGCTCAGTTAACTTTTCGTGCATCCGTCTTACGCACTGCATCAATACCTATTGAGATGTCTTTCTTTTGGTTTCGCATGCTGCTGTTGGCATCGTTGCACAACTTTAAACAACAGGTTGTATGAAATACATGAGACTGCTTGACGTACGACTGCTCGTACAACATCTGTATGTACAATCCTCGGAGTAATTCCGTAACGTCTAGCTGAATAAAAAATTATACCAGTCACCTTCCCTCCACGTTCTTCGCATTACATCGATTCCCATGCACGTGTAATCTACCGGATTTGTTCTCACCAACCTATTCGAGCACAAAAATTCCTCGAATTCTTCGAGAACGAGTGAAGTTGCAGGGGTTTGTCACGCGATTTAAGCGCTGTCTCTCTCCCCACGTCCCGATAAGCGCGCTGGAAGCTCAACAGGGAGAGAACGCAAGGCAGAGTTACGTCACTGTGCGTCATCACCTTCAAGGCGCGTGATCAAACGCAGTCTCTCGCTCCCGTTGTGGTTCATGGAAGCGATTGTGGCTCTCCTCGTAGTGCTATATAGCAGAATACATGGAGCGCGGCGTCTGTACGTAGAGGCAAACCGGGGCAAAAAGCGCCTCAGTGATCCCCATGCCGCTCTTGGTTTACGTCACTTATTGGACCATAGCGTGCGGTTATCTGTTGTCCGACGTCAAACAGCAGATGCCCGGCAGCACCGAAGAGGGTGAACACAAGCCTCTGCACAAAGAGAGCGCAGCTGAGACAATACCAACGTTGCGACTCCGCTTGCGAGCTCTCCTCGCCGTGCGCGACTGCAGGATTTTACCGAGATGTTCATAGCAGTACCTGCAGGCATAGGTCGGCGAAAAGTAGTAGAACTCGCCGAGAATCACTCAATAAGTAATCCTGTGCTTTGGGCTCACTCACCGAAATTTTCGGGATCCGGACTCACTCGGCATCAAATTCAATTAAATATTACTCCTTCGGGCTCACTCATCAGTCTCACGGCTCGATCTGAGTCTGTGCGGGTCCGAGCGAGTCGACTCATGAGCACCTATACCTGCAGGGGCCCAGCCGAAGGGAGGAGGGGTTTCAAACTTTTGAAAAGTTTCAATTTCGCTCGTATATACAGATGCACTCATACAAACGCACACACGAACATACATAAAGTACGGTTGAACCCCCTCCCCAGCCAAAAAAAAAAAAAAAACTGACTACGCCCCTTGGTGTGCGCTATCGGCAGGATCTGTTTTGTCACCAAGCCCGAGGGCTGGTTCGTGATACTGTAAATGTTATGGGCTGACAAACAGCTATATAGAAGGAAATAACTTGACTGAATGGACGCTCAGCACGACTCCTTGTATTTCGGGAGTTTCTACGCTCATACAATAGACAGTACGTAGCACCAACTGGCCGTGTATACCACCGCCATGATTCAGGACCCCTTTACTATCCGCAGAGTCATCTGTTGAGTGCGGGCAATGAATTTCGCTTTCCGGCATTGCATGGATAGAACCATAAATGTGCACGAACGCAAGAAGTATATTCTGGTGCCTCTTCCGTGTCAGTGTTGTCCCAAGGATATCAAGAGCTTGGCTATCGTAAAGAGAAAGCGGGCATAGCTTGGCTTATTTATTGACTGTTTGATAGACATGGTAAGATAAGTGACGTTTTGTGTACGCTGTAATCAAAGAGCCACGTCTAGTAAAATATGACCCTCACACGTGCCTCCAAATGATGAAAAGTGTCGATTCCTTCTCGAATTGCCGCTTTTGGTGCTAATCAGAACAGATATTCCAGCTATGAAAGTATATAGAGCATGTTATTTGTAGTAACTGTGGTATCAATGCCAATATATTAAAGCGGACGGAAGGGCAGCTTGCGGCTGGCAGCGACCGGGCCTGTAGCCTTTAACGCGTAGGTCAGCAGGAAAAAAAAAAAAAAACAGTGTTCCACGCTCGCCTTCATAGCTATGAGGGGCACTGACTAGCAGTCGCAGATTTAAATGCACATATGTTCCCATTAAAGTCAACGGGAGGATGACCGCCCCGCCGGTTCAACTGGTGGAACATCGGACGCGTCATTCGAAGGTTACAGGTTTGGTGTCTGCGGGCGACAAGCTCTCGTTCTGGCCACTTTAATTTCTTCACAGTTTCGCTCTACTTCCTTGCTTGCTCTTCTATTGAAAGGTAAACATGGTATACAACTGAATCATTCGGTTTACACTCACTGAGAACGATGTTGTGTTATAACTGTAAGTTGTTCGTTAGCACTCATATATAGTCACTATTAGGCAACATTTGTTAGTTCTAAGTAAAACTGGCAACCGGCGAGTACTGTAACTAAAGCCACGTGACTTGGCGCGAGACTGACTTAAACTGAGCTGTTTTTGCGAAAATCCAACGCTTTCGGTCAAAAATCAGGCCCCGTACTGAATATGGGTGGAACATTACCAAAACACACTCTACGCTTGCAAAAGTAATTCAACAATAACACAAAATGCTCGAAACGTTTCAAATGATTAGCTTCGGTAGCGGGTGTGGTTGTATAATATTACGGGCATATGGCCTACGACACCGCCAACCACGCCACCCAATGATAAGTTACCCTCGAGACAACACTCTCCGAGAGGTTCACACATCCTCATAGGAAGGAGTCGCTCGCTGACGGAAAGACAACGTGTTGTCTGCTATCGATAGGACGTCTGGCGTATATAGGTCGGCCTATCTCAGATTATACAGTACGTTGTATAGAAGACGCGTGCCCCCCCCCCCCCCCGGCTTCCGTGGAAGGTCACTTCCTTCTTTCTTCCCTTCCACCATCTGTGCTCTCGATGAGAGAATGAAGCGAAAGAACACAACTGTCATCGCAGTTCTCGGCGGGATGCCTTCTGGCATAAGCGTACATATATTCGCGCGCAACGTTGTTTTGGCGTCTCGTATAGGTCAGGAAAATTAAGGGCCACTGTATACATGTACTACGTGCTCTTCCGACGACGCAGTAACGATGAGAAACGTGACTCGGTGGTTTTCCGTTGGTGGCAAGCTTTATACTATTGATGTGCAGACGTGTGGTATGGTATATATGTGCGGGAACATCTAGTGTTCACAGATCACGTCCAGAAGCATGCTGGGATTCAGGTCATTCACTGCGCTTCCTTTCACACCCGAAAGAGCCTTGTTTCCTGCCGATGGTTCTGAAGCAGTTTCTTAAATATTGCAGTTAGAAAGCTCACTAATACGTAGTGCTATAGGTTATAGATGTTTGTAGCATGATTAAGGTTGCAGCCGCAACATATACATTGCTCTAGAATTGATTGATATGTGGGGTTTAACGTCCCAAAACCACTATATGATTATGAGAGACGCCGTAGTGGAGGGCTCCGGAAATTTAGACCACCTGGGGTTCTTTAACGTGCACCCAAATCTGAGCACTCGGGCCTACAACATTTCCGCCTCCATCGGAAATGCAGCCGCCGCAGCCGGAATACGAACCCGCGCCCTGCGGGTCAGCAGCCGAGTACCTTAGCCACTAGATCACCGCGGCGGGGCACATTGCTCTAGAATAACTAAGAGGCATTCTGAAAATGCTTCACAAGAGTAACTACTTTTGGGACAATGTCAAGTTGTAAAGGCTTTCACACTTCTTGTTACGGCTGCATTATTGCTTCCCTGTTGAAAATTAACGGTGGCCCTGCACAATACCAATAGCACCCTTTTCTTCAAGCACTTAATCTCAGATTGAATGTGTTTTCAAAATTGCATTAGTTTGTCTCTTTTTGTCTTTTTGTTTTCTTTGTTTTCTTTGTTTTTTTTTGCTGAATGTTGTTAATTACGTTGTTTTTCTTGTTTATTCTTCGCATGAGCTAATAACGCCTGTTGACGTTATCACACTGCCTTACAAAGTTTCCGCACTAGGATATCTCACGTGAAATCGAACCTCGACACTCTTAACCTTTATATCATGTCTTCGGTCCACTTGATCTAAATTTTTATCAAATGAAAGAAATCGTGATCCGATTATGAGGCCCACCCACGTATCAATTTCAAGCACCAAAAGATTTTAACGTGCTCTTAGAAGCCGAGCTACCGCGGCAAGGAGCAACGCTTCGATTGAGCGGCTTTGTAAGGCATGGCAGCCGGAGCATTCCCAGGGAACGTTTTTGAAAAATCACGGTTTCGCGAATAGCTTTATTTTTAAATCTAATCTCAACGTGGCAATGAAACGAAGCAAGAAAGAAAAAAATTCCATGCGTCGTATCAAAGTAACTCAATTTTACGCTCTACGAAAGTGAACCGACGTCCACATGAGCTCATACGCTCCACCATGTTTGGTTCGTATGAAATTTTGAAGTTGAGTGAACATCTAAGGTAGATCGAAAAGTCCGGTCTCAGATGGGATTTTCGTGGATCGACTGCACTTCTCATTTGTTCTGCAAACTTTTATTTCATTTTGAAGAGTCATTGTTGCCTGCGATAGTTTCCCTCATACGCCTCGCAGATATTAAAGACACCATTGAACATTATTTTAGTTCATGATTGATTTTTTCTTTCTTTCTTTCCTCTACGTCATACTCTAGTTGTGTGTGTATGTGTGTGT